CTTCTCCAATGCATGAAAGTGAAAAGTGAAAGTGAAGTCGCTCAGTCATGTCCGACTCTTAGCGACCCCATGGACGGCAGCCTACCAGGCTCCTCCATCCATGGGGTTTTCCAGGCAAGGGTACTGCAGTGGGGTGCCACTGCCTTCTCCGGCCTGAGCTGCAGGTGCAGAATGACCAAGAAGGGCACAGCCACCAAACCACCAAGCACCCTCCAGGCTGTTCACAACAGCGACACCATGTGGCGGCTGCTAGAGTCACAGGTCAGGAGGGCTGGTGTAGCCTCCCGCTCCCTCTTCGCCTGGTGTTGGAAGCAGAACAAGTTCTGGCACGTTAAGTCTGTAATTTGTAGATGAAAACAGGAGGGGGCTTGCTCAAGAGAAAGATACTAGTCCTTTTGGTAATGAAGAACAGCGAAGGCGCCTGAGTGATTAATTAGAAAAGTTAAAGAGCTATGAACATATTTGTTTGTAGCACCCAATAACCTCAGATATGCAAATGACCCACCCTTATGGCAGAAAGTGAAGAAGAACTAAAGAGCATCTTGATGAAAGTGAAAGAGAAGGGTGGAAAAGTTGGCTTAAAGCTCAACATTCAGAAAACTAAGATCATGGCATCTGGTCCCATCACTTCATGGCAAATAGATGGGGAAACAGTGGAAACAATGGCTGACTATTTTTCTGGGCTCCCAAATCACTGCAGATGGTGACTGCAGCCATGAAATTAAAAGACGCTTGCTCCTTGGAAGAAAAGTTATGACCTACCTAGACAGCATATTAAATAGCAAAGACATTACTTTATTAACAAAGGTCTGTCTAGTCAAAGCTTTGGCTTTTCCAATAGTCATGTATGGATGTGAGAGTTGGACTATAAAGAAAGTTGAGTGCCAAAGAATTGATGCTTTTGAACTGTGGTGTTGGAGAAGACTCTTTAGAGTCCCTTAGACTGCAAGGAGATTCAACCAGCCCATCCTAAAGGAAATCAATCCTGAATATTCATTGGAAGGACTGAGGCTGAAGCAGAAGCTCCAATACTTTGGCCACCTGATACGAAGAGCTGACTCATCTGAAAACACCCTGATGCTGGGAGAGACTGGAGGCGGGAGGAGCAGGGGACAACAGAGGATGAGATAGCTGGGTGGCATCACCGACTCAATGGACATGAGTTTGAGTAAATTCCGGGAGTTAGTGATGGACAGGGAGGCCTGGCGTGCTGTAGTCCATGGGGTCACGAAGAGTCGGACATGACTGAGCAACTGGACTGAGCCAGGGTCCAAGTGCTGAGCTTACTTAGTATGTCAGAGCTTGGGGGGGAGGAGGAGAGTCGCAAATTTAAATTTTGTACATGTAACCAGGTGCATCAAGGATAAAGGAATCGGCTCCCTTTAGGATCAAACCCAGTCCTGACATCCTTCCAGGCACTAAGGAAGGCAACCAGAGAAAACTGGCGAGGGAGACACTGTGCTTCAGGGGAAGACCTGGAGGCTGTTACATTTCATCACCCCCTTCCTGCTACTATCTCCGAGTTTGTTTTTCTGCAGACAAGCTTAGAGGACTAAACAGTCAAGTGCTCGCCTCTCCCTTACCACCCCAAGAGGAAAGAAACCTGTCGGCTTCTCTAAAAGGGGAAGGCAAAAAAGGAAAATAAAGTCAAAAGGAAACGCTGAAGTTGCGTCTCCTCTGTTTGAAGACATAAGGCCGGAGAGGCAGGTTTTGTGCAGAGGCACTGCTGGACCCTGGGGAAGGAAACCTGTGTGCTTCGAGTTGGAAAACATTAAGTGCAGGGAAGTTTTAATGAGCTTCAGCAGCTCTTTGATAATGGCTGATGCTGAGAAGGCAACGGAGCATTGGAAAGGCGAGCTTTCAAAGAATATGCTTTTTAGGAAGCGATTTCCCCTCTTGTCATCCCTTCCCTTTGGGGATACTCACATTGGGCCTTTCGCCATCCCACTGGGGGTACCTCCCTTCCCCTGATGGATCTAGGTCAGAGCTACTTTAACACTGTAGCTACTTTAACATGAATCCCCCTCCGCCAAAGCCCCAGCTGCTGCTGTGGGTAGTAGTAACTACAAGGGCTTCACTGAGATGGATCGAGCAGGGATGCAATAAAAGGCATAAAATTAAAGACAAGATTAATAAAACCTGATGAAAGAAAACACTGCCAGCCTACCTAGCAGCTTAAATTACATTTACCACATGCGACAGGGAGGGGGTAATCATGAGTAATAAGTCCAGGCTCGGCTCGGGAAAGAAAATCCGATCTAAATAACAACAGGTAACACCAGGGGAAGTCACTGATTCCCTTCCTAGAGAGGACTCAAGACGGGGTATAAAACCCATCAATCACACTGAGGCCAGTATCACTCGGTAGGGCCCCCGACAGTCTAGGATCTAGATTCCCAAACAGCCCAGAGCCAGAAACGCGGCAGATGCACAAAAGCGGCTTCTGGTTGTCGCTTCCAGTCCAGTCCAACTTCAGCCCGCTGCCTGGTGGCTGCTGTCACCACAGCCTGACCTTGGGAGTGACCAGGCACAGTCAGTTCTAAGGTGGGGGCTGTCCAGCTGTCCCTGTTCCTTGTTCCTCCATCAGCTGAAGTCACTCTATGCCACCAGGGCTGCCACAATGCCCAAGGTCCCTGGAGCCAACCTGGTCCCTACACAGCACCCAAACCATCCCCCTACCTGCAGACTCCTCCTGACTCCTCCTCGGAACACTCCCAAAGTTCCCAAACTTGCTGTTTCTCACCGCAGCTTAGCAGGGAAGCAATCTGATTTGACTAGTTCTCACCAACCCGCCAAAGAGTCTCTCTTTTTATAGAGCAGGCCAAGTGATGCAAACGAACCCTCAGAATAGGCTTTCAGGCTGCACAGGGGGTGTCAGGAACCCCCTCTGGACCTCTCGTGCACAGCTCGATAGAAGAGGAGGGAAGGCTCCATCACCATGCTCTCTCACCCCTCCCCAGCCATGGCCCAGGGGACAGAGAGCTGATTCACTGCTCCATCCCCTCCCCTTACAGCAGTCTCCTATCTCCAGGCCTCCTGGCTTGATCAGTGAAAAGGTAACATCTCCTGCAGACAGGGATGGCTGTAGCTGGCTTCCAGCCAAGGAAAACCCTGGAAAGTCCTGCTCTTAGCAGAAGGGTTCCTTCTGCTCAAAGGGCCCAGGAACGTGGGTTTCGGGTGCAGGGTCTTCAGGTGATAATCTTTAGATTTGCAGCTCCCTGGCATTCTAATTCCAGGCGAAGCTCCCGCGGCTTCTCCCTTGGTCTGGGCCCTCATCGCACTCAGTGGTAAAGAACTCGCCTGCCAATGCAGGGGACATAAGAGATGTGGGTTCGATCCCCGGGTGGGGAAGATCCCCTGAAGGAGGGCCTGGCAACCCACTCCAGTATTCTTGTCTGGAGAATCTCCATGGACAGAGGGGCCTGGCGGGCTACAGTCCATGGGGGTCACAAAGAGTCCGACAGGACTGATGTGATTTCGCATTAGAGAGTTCTCAGAATCCCTGGATGATTGGTTTCCCTAGGTTATGGCTGCAAGGAGGTCCTGCCTCTTCCTCAGGACCCTTGGAGCACAGCCATCCCTGACCACAGCCCTCAGCTAGGAGGGTCTCAATGAAACAGGGGTGACTGGTGAGGAAGAGTCACACTGCCTGAACACCTGACTTCTCCCACAACAAGCTCAGTCATCTGAGTTCTTCCTCACAGAGTTTCCATCTTGGAAAAAAAATGGAGACACTACTTCCAGAAAGTCTTCAGCATGAGGAGGTTCTATGGATAACAAGCACTTTTATTTTCCTTTGGTCACTATCAGAGCTAGTCTAAGGAAAGAATGGGACTTCATTCTATCAGAAGAAAACTTAAAATGCCCAGAACGTTCACTCACCAGAATCCTCCCAACTATCAGACAGACTCTTCTCTGTCTTCTGCTCCTGAGAAAGGGGAAACTTAGAAGAATACGAGCACATAGTCACACCTTCACCTACTTGCCTGCCTGTGAAATTTATCAAGCACGTGGGATTTTGTCAGTGACGGTATTTGAAGACTCCTGACTCTGCCCCAGGGGCAGAGTACAGGTGCTGTCCGATGATGCCCGTCTGCATCTCTAACCTGACATCCACCCTGTGCTCTGAATGCAGCACCAGCATTGCCTCAGGCTGCAAAGACTCTGCTAATCAAAATCTACTCGCTTCCATCAGCAATGAATTCAACCAGAAGTTCTGGAAGGACACACATCAAATTGTCGACAGTGACGGCTGGGAGCAAGTGAGAACAGAAAGAAAAGAAACCTTTCCTTTCTTTCTACTTAACTCTCTACAGCTTTTTTGCTTTAAAAAAAAATACACATAGAATATATTCCTGGAGTCCCTGAAACATTAAAATAAATGAATACATGGCCGAAAAGGAAAAGCAAGTGCCTGTTTTCAACAACACAGCCCGGACTCTGCCAGCTCCCTGATCGGGGCTGAGATCCGGAAGCGTGGAAAGCATCGGTTCTCAGACAGGTTGATGATTAAATGGCCCAGAACAGACCTAGGCCTTCTGGAAGTTCTCTTCAGGGCTGGACACAGCTCCACCCTCTTGCTGCTTTCTTCCAGCTTTGTGATCTTGATGCAAAGAGCCCCTATATTTCCACCAGCCCTCATCCCACTTACTTAACCCTTTTTGATCCCTGGCAGCTCTCAGTTCTAGCAGTGGGGGCACAAGCCTTCAAGCTCACCTGACCTCAGGTGACTCTCTGAACTTACTGAGCATAGTCCTGTTTCCCTCATTCCCTTATTCTCAGATTAAAGATGGAAATCTTCCTGAGTGCAAGAGCCAGATGCCTGACTAGTTTCTGAAGAACCTTGGACTGGAGGCAGAGGTCAGCTTTGGCCCCATCCATCCCAACCACTCCCCTTTCCCACCCCACGCAGAAATTCAGAAAACAGAAAGTGGGCCACTGAAGCCGCACAAAGGTTCTCTCTGCCACCTCATTCATCATGCAGCTGCTGGCGCACTTACCTGCAGATGTAATTGGTCTTGCAGGAGTCCTGCAAGTTCAGGCAGTTGGGTTTCTCCCTCTCCTCGTAGGAGCACACGGGCACGATGGTCTGCCGCCTCCGCTCTGTGCAGGCGATGTCCCGGCAGGAACAGAAGAGCATCCCATAGCTGTGCTTGGCAGGGACCTTGTCGAAGAACTGCCGGAGGGCCTTGTGGCACTTGCGCCGGTTGCAGACGTCGTTGGACATGCTGGTGGTGCAGGGGGTGATGTAGGCTGACCTGTACTTCTTGCAGGTGTCGTCCAGGTTGCAGGCCTTGGCGGCGTCCAGGCAGTTGTTCCCTTTCGAGATGTGCTCCACTGCAGAAAGGAGAGAGAGGCAGGCCGTGACCACAGGGCTAGGTGCCGGGGCGGCTCGCACAGGTCGTCTGCTTTCACTGCAATCTGGCCTCTCACCACCTGGCAGGCCTGGCAGCTCTCATCAGCTCTGTGTTTTGAAGCTAATAACTTAATGAGTTTGTGACAATGAGGAAGCATCAGGGGCACAGAGGCCAGGAGCCCACGGTGGCACTCCAGCTCCTAGCATTGTCTCAGAGGTATAATTAGGAGGTATTGAGTGAGGCCAAAGGAGCTCAGACACCTGCCTGCCTAGGTCTAAACAAGGCAACAGGAGAACAAATTTCCAGCTCCGGGCTGGTAAACTGAAATTAGGATAAAAGAAAAAAGCAGCAAATTACATACTTGTTTATTATATAGTATATAAAATGATATGCTGAATGTAAGTATAATTGCCATGCGATCCTCCAGGAATATAATTATGTAATAAATGCACATAGTACATGCTAATTACTATATGATTACAGAGTTAATTGCATGGTTATTTGAGCCCAGAAGACAAAATATTATGCCAGCTCTCTAAACAGGAAGAAGCAACTACATCGAAGCTGTATTTAAGTTTGAGCTCACAGGCCACTGGAAGGAAACCAGAATAAATTACATAAAAATTTGCAAACCTCAATTACCATTTAACTTACCACATAGAAAATGTGGGATCTATGAGTACTGAGGTTGCAGATTAGAAAAATTCAGTTAGTATTTTGGATAGAATTTCAATGGGCTTACAAACCATAGGCCTTAGGAATCTCAAAAAAACATATGTTGCCTTCTGCCCAAGCCCTCTGTGCTCAGGCTTTAAGAGAAACCAGGGCTGTCCACGGCCAGGAGGCCTGCTGTGAGGCTGGAGAGAGAGCAGAGAGGAGGTGGGGCCCACTGAGGTGGCTGGGTGGGCTGGCAGGGCCAAGTCCAATGGGCAAACTTAAAAGATGAATGGACAAGGGAAATGAAGCCCATTTCCCACATTATAGGTCTTATCAAAGAGAGGGGGAAGTGACGGAAAAACCTCTGAGAGCCAAGTTATATATAATATGGCCCATGGAAAATTGATAATTAGGTGCAGCAATGACCCTCCAGGGACAGCTGGGAGGCAACAGACAGGCACCACACAACTGTGGGATTCAAACCCCAGGAAGTTCCCGTTCAGGCCTCAGCCCCTTCTTGGGTTCTGAAATCCCCTTTCCTTCTCTTTATGTTCCCCGTGGACGGGGACCATGAGGGGATTTGAGAATTAGCACGAGAGGAAAGAGAGTTCAATTGGATTGGATGGGACTGAAAGACAGGACAGTGCATTTAGTGTCCATATAAAGGACACATGGAATATTTTTCTGCCTTAAAGAAGTAAATATGCCATATACAACAACATGGATGAGCCTTAAGGACATGATACTAAGTGAGATAAGCCAGTCACAGGAGGACAGTATCCTTTATGGCTCTGCATCTGCAAGGCATCTAAAACTCTCAGACTCACAGAAGCAGAAAGTTGAATGATAGTTATTGCTATTCAACAGTACAAACGATAGTTACTGCTACTCAATAGTACAAATGGTAGTTACTCCCCATTTCCTCCCTTGTTTCAGCAAGAGAGGAAATGAGGAGTTGTTATTCAAGAAGTATAAAGTTTCAGTGATGCAAGATGAATAAGTTCTAGAGATCTGCTATACAACATCATGCTTACAGTTAACAATACTGTATTGTGCACTTAAAATCTAAGTGGCATTATTGCACTCTTTTTAATGGCTGAGTAATATTCCAATGTGCATATAAGCCACTTTTTCTTTATCCATTGATCTGTCCATGTACACTTAGGTTGTTTCCATGTCTTGACTAATGTAAATAGTGCTACAGTAAACATAGGGGTGCATATATCTTTTCAAATGATAGTTTCATCTGAGTATATGCCCAGGAGTGGGACTGCTGAAGCATATGACAGCTCTAGTTTTAGTTTTTTTGAGGAACTTCCATACTGTTATCCATAATGACTGCACCAATTTACATTTCCATCAACAGTAGAAGAGAGGTCCCTTTTCTTTACATCCTCTCCAGCATTTGCTATTTGTAGACTTTTTAATGATGGCCATTCTGTCTGATGTGAGGTGATACCTCATTGTAGTTATGATTTGCATTTCTCTTAATAATGAGCATCTTTTCATGCATCTATTGGTCATCTGTGTCCATTCTTTTTTTTTTTTTTTTTGGATAAAGGTCTATTTAGGTCTTCTGCCCACTGGTACCTAAAAATTATCATACTAAGTGAACTAAGTCAGAAAGAGAAAGACAAATACCATATGATATCACTTCTATGTGGAATCTAAAATACAGTACAAATCAACATATCTTGAAACAATAACAGACTCACAGATATAGAGAACAGACCTGTGGTTGCCAAGGGGGAGTGGGGTTAGGGGAGAGAAGATATGGGAGTTTGGGATTAGCAAAGGTAAACTATTATACACAGAACAGATAAACAACAAGGTCCTACCATATAGCACAGGGAACTATATTCAGTATCCTATGACAAACCATGATGGAGAAGAATGAGAAAGAATGTATATATGTGCATGGCTGAGTAACTTTTCTGTATAGAGGAAACTGATGCAACATTGTAAATCAACACTGTAAATCAATAAAATTTAAAAAAGAAATCTGTTAAGAATGTAGTGTTAGTCGCTGAGTCAAGTCTGACTCTTTGTGACCCCATGGACTGTAGCCCACCAGGCTCCTCTGGCCATGGGATTTTCCAGGCAAGCATACTGGAATGTGTTGCCATTTCCTTCTCTAGGGGATCTTCCCAATCCAGATCAAACCCAAGTCTCCTGCATCGCAGGCAGATCCTATACCACGTGAGCCATCAGGATCTCATGTTAAATGTTCTACTACAGTAAAGCAAGATTTTATACAAGACAAGAACAGACACATTAAGTCCAACATTTCAGGGAATGAAAAATTCTCCTTGGTCTACTGATGGTGTGCCTCACTTTAAGAAAGAACTATGTGTAAATATCTGAAATCACAAAAATATACCCGGGCACTACCAGCAGTACTTTATGATGCCCCAGGTTCATGTTTCTCTCCATGACGCGCGCATTCAACCATTTAACGCGCAAGGCAATAAACGAGACCTTCAGCCCTTCTTAGGTGAGCTGTGCAGGAAGCCAGCAGCTGCACACACATCCTGCTGGTTTAACAAGCACACCTGGAGCCTTCCCTCCTCATCATCATCTTCCCAAAGTGGCTTCGCTCCTGCGCCTCTGTTTTCACACGCAGGCACTGCAGGACCCGAGGAGTGAGATATTCACCACGTGCCCTAACAGACCCCCAGGGCCTCCAGCAGGCCCTGGTGACACTTCTAGCCTTTTCCTCTTTTGAGAGGCGGCGCTGTTGGGCCCACTGGCAGCATTGGTTGATAATCCCGAAGGACTATAGTTGTAGATTTCTTTTATTTATTTTCATTTAAGGCTGTCTGGGTCTTCATTGCTGCGCCTGGGTTTTCTCTAGTTGCGACAAATGGGGACACGCTCTAGTTGAGTCATGTGTGCTCTAGAGTGCGTGAGCTCAGTAATTGTGGGGCTTAGCTGCCCCACGGCATCTGAAATCTTCCTAGACCAGGGATCTAACCCCCGAGGTCCCCTGCATCGGCAGGCAGTTTCTCAACCACTGGACTACCAAAGGAAGTCCTGGAGATTTCTAAGTTATGCATTTTGGAATGATGATCTAAAATAAAGGAATATGACCAAACTCTGGATCATCCGGATAAGGCCCTTAAAGCTAGTTGCTAAGTCGTGCCCCACTCTGTGACCCCATGGACTGCAGCATGCCAGGCTTCCCTGACCTTCACTGTCTCCCAGAGTTTGCTCAAACTAATGTCCATTGAATCAGCAATGCCATCTAACCATTTCATCCTCTGTCGCCCTCTTCTCCTCCTGACCTCAATCCTTCCCAGCATCAGCATCTTTCTCTTCGCATCAGGTGGATATTGGTGTGCAATTTCACCACCTACATTTTTACTTTCATTGGTGTTCAATGGTACTTTATGATCTCTGGCTAAAATGAAAGGAATATAGGCACATAGCTTGACTTAATACTTACATGATGTACCCAGGGACATAGGAACAAGCAGTTCACGTAAGTTCAAATGGAGAAAAATGACAGAAAAATTAAGTCATCATATGGCACCCAGTAATGTAGGCCTGTCAAACTCAAACCAATACATGCTGAAACAGAGAATTAGATCCAAACTGTAAGCACTTAGTTTCAGCAGACAATATCATTTCTCATATTAAATTTATATTATCAACTCACATTTCATAGCTTTTAATGTTTTGTTAATACTTAATTTGTGTATTGTCTTTACAGTTATATAATTTGTATGTGTTGTCTTTACAGTTTGTATAAAAGCAAAGAATAAGAGTTGATGGTTTTATGTTTATAAACTTCACATAAAATTATAATGAAAATAATTAAACCTAACACACAAGGTCCAGAAAATTTACTTCTCTCTGGCAGTTCTCCATATAATACAGTTTTTAAAAACTGGCCTGGAAAAAAGCTCTTTGACATGGGTTTTGGCAGTGATTTTTTGGGTATGACACAACCAATAACAACAAAAACTAAACAAAATGAATTATACTAAACTAGAAAGCTTCTGCACAGCAAAGAAAACCATCAACAGAATGAAAAGGTGACTTATGGAATGGGAGAAAATACTTACAAATCATGTTCTGATATGGAGTCAATTTCCAAAATATATGAAGAACTTACATGATTCAAATCACCAAAGTCACAACAATAATAATAATAATAACCCAAGTTAAAAAATAATAACCCAAGTTAAAAAATGGGTAAAGGACCTGAAGAGACATTCTTCCAAAGAAGATATATGAAAGGCCAACAGGTCCATGAAAAGATGCTGATAGGTAGGGAAATGAAAATCAAACTACAATGAGATATCACCTCAGGCCTGTTAG